CAAAAGTATCAAGTTACCTTTGTAACTAAAAATAAAAATATCTCGTTGCATTTGCATACTACTAACTCATGAACTGTTTCAAACCTCAAGGCTCATTTCATTAGCAACTAAAATCCTCAGCCTAACCCACAGAAAATGTCGAAGTAAGCCCAATATATGAATACTTCCTCCTCTTTTATAGAAGAATAAATATGGCCGTTCTAAACTGTGTCGGGATCAAATGTTCTCACATACCATTTACCTTTACAACAAGAAATTTGATTGGCTGTTTATAGTAGATCCAATCTGATTCGTGTGACATACATACATCCCTCACTCTCTCACTCACTCATCCATTGACCCGTCCATAGTATACCCGACCTGCCGACTAAGAGGTATTTTTTTTTACAAAAAAATAACTCAAAAATGGCTTAAATTTGCTAGTGAACATAGCAATTTTTTAAATTGTTCAGTTCACATACTGACGGGAGTAATGATACTCCAATTTCCCTACCCTTCCTTATACACTGTACATAAATTTGTGACATCCCTGCCTTTGTATATACCTGGAACCTGAGAAAGGTCCATTTTTCAGGTGGAGCCTGAAAAGTAGAGGTCATTATAGGAAGTACTCTCCCTCGTGGGGGACTTAAGCTAGCGAAATTGCTAGCAAAATTGGTTACGCCTATAAATAGAGTTGATGTGTTCCTGCCATTTGGCAATTGCTGCTTCATAGAACTGTTTTCTGTTTATTCACGGTATTTATCTTTAAATTTCACCGCAAAGTTTTAAGCTTTCCTTACAAGCTTCTTGTTAGTAATAAGACCTTGTGTTGCACAATTCAGAGAAAAATCATTATCGCAACTTCAAATTGGTTTTGTGCTACATGCTTGTCCAATTTTGAAATTACTCCCAGGCCCTATCCTCCAGAATTATACTTCACTTCGTCCACTTACTATTACTAATCTGCTTGCCAAGCAGCTATTGTGACTATTTTGCAATCTACACTGTACATGTAATTAGTTTGTTCAGTCAAAAGGTTATGAGGAGACAAAATTTGGCAACAATGCTAACTTGCAACCCATCTCAAAATAACACCATTGCTTGTAGTATATCTACTTGGTACTTTTCTAGCAACAAATCTACTTCCTAGGACCTATACAGCATTATTTAATTAACAACTGTCTAGAGATCCTTACCGCTTTAACAAGATCTTGACATCTTGTTTTTAGTCTTGAGATTTCTGCTTCCTTTTGAGTGATTTTCTCTTCTAACTGCATATTTGTTGCTACAAGTTCAGATTTGTTCCTCGTCAGCTCTCGTACTTCCTCTCCATGACGTTGAAGTTCTACCAAGCGCAACCCTTCCATTTCCTTGGATTTGAAAAAAGTTTAAAATGCAATCCATACATTCTTAAAAATAAAAGTAGTAACAACTTAAAACTATCCCTCTCTAGAGCAATGCAGGGTTCTCATTAAGAGCTGCCTATGGGCTAAAAAAAAGTGGCTTCTTAGATTTTGAGCTGTTTCCTTTTCGTGACAAGGCTTAATATTACATATCTTTCTCTGACATGATGACAATCTGCTGGTCTACCATGTTTTAATTCATGGCACTGTTACTTTCAATTTCACTCTAGTTTTTGGTTGTGTCAATTTATAGATATGAATGGGAAAAGTCAAATGCAGTCATGAAGACCAAAGGTACAAAGAACAATGATCCCTTTTGTGAACAAAGAAGAAAAGTAAGAGTGAAAAGGAGCATAAAACACCAGCAGTCACAACTGTGGAATCATCATTGGATAGCCACATTTCCAATGGGCAAAAATAAGAATGTGCAATTGTTGGTAATTATGAATAAGGATGTTTACCCACATGTACATTATACTGTAAGGCAATTAATCTGCCATCAAAAGATTTGGAAATTGATATTGACTCTAACACAGTTTTAAGATTCGTCAGGCAGTGTTTCTAATGGGTAGTACTCAATAGAAGACAAAATACTCTAGCTGTATTGAAACACAAGGCAAAATGGCATGGAAGTGACAGCCACGGCTGGCTAAGATGTGGTAGCTAAAAGCAGGAAAACCCAATACAATGTTGCGTATGGCTAAACACATAGTTATTTGACACTGAACCATGTTTTCACTGGAATGACTCTTTCCTGTCTTCAACATCTCTCAGGAGTTATTCAGTTTACAAAAAGAAGCAAAAGTAAACTATGCTGTTTTGAAGTCATCTTGACTCCATTATCATGTAGAGAAAAGAAAATAATGGTCAAGATGTTAATTTCTAAGCTGAAGCATCGCAATAATCTCATTAACTTGACTACTGCCATGTTCCTAAATTCTGCGATCCAAAATGACCAAATTTTGACAAGCAAAACCGTCCAGATCATCTTAACATTCAAAGACCAGAAATCCGCTGACGCAGTTCAAAAACAGCTGATAGATCTTGGCAACAAAATCAGAACAGAGATACAACCACTCTCCAAAAGTCCAAAATTAGTGACAAGCTCTGGCTACAAGAGGGAAAGCCTGCTCTCACAAACCAACAATACATTGTTTATAATTTAAAATGTGATCTGCACAATGCAGATTGTGTTGGCTATACCACTCATCGTCTTTACCACAGCATCAAAGAACATAAACCCTCTGCTATTGGCAAGCACTTAAACTCTTAATTAGACCATGTTACACTTAAATACAAAATCTATATTCTTACACTTTTCACACTATAAAATTAACATCTCAACCATTATTTTCTTTTGTCTAATTGATAATGGAGTCAAGATGACTTTGAAAGCCGTCCTGATATAAATGGTGCCATGTAATCAGTCAACCTCATCGCCTGAAGACTAGCAGTAAGCCGTCGAAATGTCACGATCTACATCTCAAGTGACTACATCGTGAGACAAACATTAATACGCTTTATTATGGCATCTCCCACAATGAACAACAACAACCTTTTCCATAACGTTTGTTCTTCATGACCCAGTGCTGCATTAGTCTTCCGTAACAATATCTTAATGGTTGAGTTTCCAATTTTTTACATTTGACGGAATGTTCCTTTTAATATATCTGATCCTGTTGAAAATGATATCAATTTAAATCAAAGCTAATTCCTAAGTAATGTTCCTGAGTTACTTGATGAAAATTCTACTGGTTTTGTTTTAACACAGCCCAACATTAACTAATGAGGCAGGAACTGACATTTCACAATGCTTCATGGCATAACCGAGGACTTTCACCTGACTACTGACTGGAAAAATAAATAATTTATACTATTTTCGGAGAGCTGGAGAAGGCAAGGGGTGGTTGGTTGTGGTCTTGCCACTTTCAGAGGGCTCGCTACCTTTGGGGGAGGGGGGGTCGCTACTTTCCGGATTATTAGCAGCAACGACTTTACTTTCTGGAGCTCGCTACTTTCAAGGGATCGTTACTTTCGAAAGTTTGCAGTTCAGTGGTACCAAAATGACAATTTTATGGTTTTCACTCTCATTAAAGCAGACACGAAATACTTCTCATACAACATATTTATGTCGATTTTACATCATTATGTAAAATTACAGTCTGTTGTTCATCATTTGTCAAAATACACTTCAAAAGACTTCTGGAAGTTTAGTTTCACATCAATTTTTTTTGTCTGCACAATAGTCCTTGCTTCACAGGCATTGTAGACCTACATTATTTATTGCATGTTAAGGGCACTTTTTATCTCACACCCCGCTATTATGGACTCTCACTATTATAGACACTAAACAACGTTCCCTAGCGTGTCTGCTATAACGATAGTTGACTGCACCGACAAAAGTTTTGAAAACAAAGGTCTTTCTAAAGTACCAAGGGAAGTTTTGAATGGAAACAGGGGTCATACTACTATTTTAATGATGCTATCTCGTGTTTTCTTTTTGGGTATCTGGATATGGGAAATAAAATACCAGCATTCAGTATACTATATACATAGATTACGATCACACTAAATATTTAAGTGTTATATTGTTTTAACTGTGATCAATAGCAAAAATTAATCTCTCTAAAACAATCTCCAATAACTTTGCTTTCTACTTACTCTTTCCGTTTGATTGTAAAAAAAAATTTATGAAATTTAACATGCATGTGTACAGTGTAAAGTTACCAATAATAAGTATCTGTAAAGTGAGGTTTACTTGGTATTCGAACATGTCACTGATCAGAGGAACGTGTCCATTGTCTAGTTTGAGAACATCTAGGGCTCTGGGCTTTTCTTTGAAACAAACAAAAATGTCAATATTAAGTGTGTGTTAACTGGCAGTCATGGAGCTACTGTAAACAGCCGCTTACAAGTCCTGGGCTTATACAATTTTGCAAGGGGTTTTGAATGGGCTTCTAGCCCGAGGGGCTTATATCTGGGGGGATTATAAATGGAATTTACAAAAAAAAAACGTTTTGAAATGAACTACAGCTATATTGATCAAAATACATTTTCATGTACCAGTTCTTAATTAAGGTTCAAAACATCACTAAACATCAAATTCGTTTCATTTTAAACTAGAGGAGGGTGTCGTCGTCGTCGTCGCCTTCATCATGCCACATGTGGTAAAAGAGGTTCAAACAAAGTGGAGAAAATCAATGAACGTGCCCTTCGCTTTGTGACGTGTGACAAATCAACCATGTGCAAGACACTACTTAAACAACTTAACCTGCTGTCTTCACATAATCAAAGAACAGTTGAAATGGCCACCGGTGTTTACAAAATTGTCCATGGGTATAAAGTCCCCAAAGGTATTGCAGAGCTACTGAAAGAGCAATCCACTAATTATAACCTTACAGGAAACTACAATCATATTGGAGCTGTTTAAAGTAACAACTACAACTAATGGACCCAAGTCGTGGCGTTATACTAATGCTAAGATTTGGAATGCTCCTCCTGACCAAATTGCAGTGCTAAAGAAAATCGGAACATTTAAGAACTTGATTTCAAAGATGGATTTTTAAAATCTCACATTTTAATTATGTGAATACACGTCTTTTCTACACAACTTTAATAAGATGACTGTAAATAATTACGTGACCATTTTTATTCTTTATAGAGAATATACTATATATAGATTTTTGTTGCTATTTTTATTTCGTGGCATGTCTGTAAAGTCGCTATTTAGCTAAGTGCATTTGACCATGTTAAATAAAGGCTATTGACTTTTCTTGTTCTGGTCTGTTGAAGATAGCTTCCTTAGGATTGCTGACTGGTTTTACCATCTTGTCCTCTATTTATCATCAACCTTTGACACTCCTTGGAAATTTTTCCATATTTCAGTAGTTTTAACTGAAAAACAGCTAAACAAACAGCTATCACTACTGAATTCACATAGATCCCTAGAATCAAGACCTTGGAATAAACAACTAAGTCTTGTCAGCATGTGGAAGGATGACCTTTCCCTTCAAAAATTTCTGTTTCAAAACAGTTTCTATCAGTCTCAAATTCTTCCTGACATTTTTAGCATTCTTTGGGTCAGAAAAGTCAACCGGAGTAAAACAGCTGATTGCATAACATGACGAAACATCACAAAATGTAAGATTCATGCAGATGTGCGCAGTAGATATGTACTTCAACGTGCATGTGAGTAAAAGCAAAAGGACACTGGGAACAAGAAAGTTTGTGTTACTCAAGTGATGTCATATCAAGAGTTTAATGTTGAAAGTCTACGGCAAAATGTGTCACAAATGTTAAATTAATTCAATTAAATGGAGCTCCCAAATTTGAAGCTATTGCTTAGTGAAAATTCAAGGACTTTCAAGGACCTATATTTATGCCAGCAAATTTCAAGTACTGTCAAACAAACAGCAAGAGCTCATAAGTTTCAAGATTCTTGGAATAAAAGTTTCCAGTGGGTAATCTGTGATACATGTAAAGACGACGACCTAATGTTTTGTTTGTAAGTTGGAATTATCCTGTGCCCGCTGGAATTATCATAATATTCATTTATTACCCTACATGTATCTCCAAGGACAACTAGATTTTAGTTTGGACAAGCAAAACTAAAATTGCACTTGTCCATTGGTTGAAGTCAAAATGTTTGTTGCACCCTGCTTCTGATCTGCAGAGGATATCGATTCTGAATCTGGGAACCAAACTTTTCCAAATCTTACTGAGATGTGCCAATTGTTGCACTGTGTAATAGTAGGCTATTGATTTTCCACTGTATACCTTGTAAATTATCAGCACAGCATTCATGTCAACAAACTAAATGAATTTGACATTGTCTCATATAAGAGCTTATAGAACATATTATTGTAGGGTAACTGGTATGGCCAGAAGGATGTCATCAAATAGTTATGTGTTGATGTATTCACTCCATTTGAAGATATAGCCCAGGAAAACTCTTTTGCCCACCCAGCCACAACTTTTTGACCTGTGACTCTGTGTGTCACTGAATTTTCCCCAGTGAATTAATTATTGAAGTGTGTAATAGTATCCTGTTGATTCAGATGAAGAGATGTAGTGTCAGTGGTACATACATGCAATAGCAACATGAACCACATGAATTTTCAGTAACCTTACCAGGAGACTTACCTGAGTCTTGAGCTTTTCTTCCTCCAGCTCTTTTTGTAGAGTCCTGATCTATAAGGAAAGCACAACTTACAGTTGCATATCTGACCTCAGTTCAATTTGTTATTAACTAAAACTACAGTAGGAAATTATTTTAAGCCTTGCACTGCCATTCTGTTACATGTATGTAATCTGAAACAAGCTGACAAGAGTTTATTCTGCCAGAACATTGTTCTTTGTTATGTATTCCTGTAAGTCTTGAAAAATGGCCGAAGAAAATATAACATAATTACATTGAATCCTATAAACACACCTCCATTTCAAATCGATAACCTCTTTCCCTTTCTTCATCAGCATCTCTCCTAAGGATAATAAAACACATGTAAGTATCTACTTTTGAACACCTCCTGCATGGAAGACACCTCCCAAAAGTTCCAGGATGGTTGACTGACTGGACCTGAGCAGCCAGAATGTTACGAGACTCTCAGAGGTTACAAATAATTTAAGAAGAATAAACAGAAAACGTTTTGTGTACCTTTTCTTGTGGCAGAACACGAGAGGTAGGATGCATGTGTTCTAGTGCTTCGTTTGATACACTCTGTTATCCTCCCCAGAACCACATGTGTAATATTTTAGGTACTAAACATTTTTTGCATTTAGTGCTATTTTCAAACTTCTATACAATCATGTACATTTGTCAGAGCTCAAATAAAGAGTAAAAACTTTTTGCTTCTCTTCAGTCAGTGCTTTATTTAAGGACAGGACTCGAGACTAACTTTTTTCTTTTTTGAAAACTTTTACGGTGCCTGTTACATTTTTTCCAGTCACCTCCCCTGTAAGTAAAACATTTGCGCCTCTTGCACTTGTTTTGCACACGCACTATGCAATCTGCAGGTACATGTTTATGGTTGGATTTCAGTATAATTTTCAACAGATAACAGCTAGTTTTTCAGCTGAAAGAAGTTAACAGTTAGCAGTTAGTGATACACTGCTATTCTGGTATGTTTTGGTTTTAGTACACGTTCATCAAATTTGATTGGGTCACAGTGGGAAAATTTTGCTTTCATTTCAGTTGCTTACTTGGTAGCATAGTTGATTACATCAATGCCAACCATAGCGCGCACGTGGTGGTTAAAGTATGCTTTGTGTGACGCACAGAATGTGTGCGCACTAACAATAGTAGGCACTGTCCTTAATTCTTTTCTCTCTCTCTGTGGTCAAGCTTTTTCTTAGTGTTTCAAATAACTTGTCAAATTGCTAATTATCGTTACAGCCTCTGTGTCACCTTGTTAAATCCACAATTAAACTACAACAACATTTAAAGGCATTTCAAAGATCATCTTCATTTGGAAATTGTAACAAAGTTTTCTCACAGACAGACTGACAACTGGCAATGCTATCAATCCACTTCAGCAAGCATTTGTTCAGCTATTTACATTCCAATCTGAGAATTGGGAAACTACATATCAGCAGTGAATAATTTAACCACACATCATCATTTTTGGTAATTTTGTCAATATTTGCCTTGTTGCATCTCAATCAGCAGGAACAAACAGACCTGTCAGGAATCCCTTCACATAATTTTGTGATCCCCCTTGTATGCAATAACTTGTAAGAATGAATGCTGCATGTTTCACTTTTGCTATTATTTTTTAGGATTTCAAATTTCCTGCACACCACCATGTTTATTTTTTGAAAGGCTTGATGGGGAAACTATGACGTCACTGCACAGTTGAAGAGATACAAAAATACTTCTAAACATTTATACTTCATATTATGGAAGAATATGCAGTTCCAATGAGAAAATTTCGCGGCACTGACATCATAAATTACCATAAAGTAAACATGACAACCCCAGTTATTTAACCTGAAAACCAAGTACTCTGCAATTGTATTCCAACGACTTACATGTATAGCCTGGCAGTATAGTCTGCATGCAGCCCTTTTCAATTCTAGTTTGCAGGCTTCACATCATATTAAAATACCCATTTCATTCCATGAGCTTCCCTCTCTACCTAAAACCAGCATGAAGAGTGAGGGCTCTGGAAATGTCACTGGTTTGAAATTTGAAAATCGTACTCATACTCAACCTCATACGGTTGGTCCATTATCTAAAGGTCCCTAGTTTCTACTGTACCTGCATTGAATCGCATAGATAAAATTTAGAATGAGATGATGCTCCTAACATCTGAACCAACAGAAATAATATTATTGCAGAAATGTAGAGAAAGGGCAGCAAGAGCAAGTGCAGACTATTGCAAATTAAGGCTCCTTTTCATTTATACTATTAATAGGAAAACTACATTTATTAGCACAAGAACAAGGAAAACTGTAACAATTCTAGTCCTAAGTGCACCAATAATGTAAAAATGTAAGGTAAAAACATACAGTAATTCTCAAAAAGAACAAAAAGAAAAACATTGCAGGGGTCTTATGAGTGAAGCTGATTATTGCTAACTAGCTGGAATTAGAAAATTAAGTGAATAACAAATAACTGATACAATATGCTCATAACTACTGTGCACTTAATTACTGACAATAGCATGGGCATGGATAGTTCATAGTTCATAACAAAATCAACAGGGTATAAAATGTCTCCAAAGTGAGTATTATAAGAAATATTAAACATAGAAATGACATCAACTCGGGAAAAAAATGCAAGTTCCAGATGGGATTTGAACCCATGACCCTCTGTCATCTAGCCGCACACTCTAACTACTGAGCTACTGGAGACTCTATGGTGAGCAAGGGTGAAATGTGGGTCTTTGACTGGAACCGCTTCGTGCTGTCACACAGCTAAACAATGACTTGGCACATATGAACTCATAACTGCATCAAGCGGTCACATTGAAGCATATCAAAGATGCAACCAACCACACTCCAAAGTGAGTATTATAAGAAATATTAAATTAACAAATGACATCAACTTGGAAAAAAATGCAAGTTCCAGATGGGACTTGAACCCACGACCCTCCATGATCCAGCCACTCCATGTTCTAACCACTGAGCTACATGTACAGGAGACTCCACAGAGTCTCCTGAGTAGCACAGTGGTTAGAGCAATTGGCTAGATCATGGAGGGATCCCATCTGAAACATAGATTTTTTTCTGTGTTGATGTGATTTCTACATTTAATATAGAATGTTTATCTTAAATTTTTTTTTTCATTCCAAACAAACCTACATATAAATTTGGTCTTATTTTTAAAACTGGTATGGTTAAATTACTAATAGTCTTTTCAATTTCTTTTTCTTTTTTTAACATTCACTTAACTATTCATTTGTATCTCAGTTTAATTTAATTTAATCCATTTTCACTGCACAAATTGTAAGCCATAAATTAAAAACAGTGAGGAAGGACTAGAAAGGAATATTAGAACCAAACGGGCTAGCCCACCCAAGATACATAAAAACAAAACAAAGAAAAAAGCTGTTTAAATACAGTGTCAATAAACATCAAAGGGCTACTTTGACGCCCAAGTAACATTTGGGCAGTCAGGATCAAAGTTTTCGCATTTATAAAAGTCTCTACATCATCTCTACCCTTCAAGCATGACTGGCTAAGATTATCAGTCCTAAGTCCTTCGGGTAGGTTATTCCATAAATAAGGAATTCTATTTAAAAACATGCCCTTAAAAAGATCAGTTCTTACTAGGTTCAATTTCAGGTTTATTGCTTGAATAGGGCCTTAGTCTTTGATCCGAGCAAAATTCAAAATATGAGTCAAATGCTCAATTGGAGTATCCACATTTGAATTTGTAGAATGTTGTGAGGTCTTTGACCTCTCTTCGGTACACCAGTGGAAGAAGATCTAATTGCTTAAAGAGCTTGCTGTAGGTTAGCTCTGGCAGGAGAACCTGCGTCGCACATCCTTAGACTCCCTCTATTAGTTTTATCAGGATGACAGACTTCGGGCTCCAGATTTTGGAGGCATAATCAAGGTGAAAACGCACAAGCACCATGTAAAGAGACCTCGAAGTTGGTGAAAGTTGGGCACTTAGGCCAATACAGGGTCCGACAAATATTTTTGACAAAACTTGTCCCTGGGCAAGTGGCATGTCAAAATCACTTGCCCAACAGAATGAGCTAGTTGTCCCAGTTAATAATGGTAGAGGACAAGCGATTCCTTGAACTGTAGCAAAATCAATTCACATTATAGTTTAGGAGCCATATTAACAATAACAACTTAAGGACTTACATTAAATACTGATGCATCTGAGTGATGTTATGAATAAACTGCAAACACAGAACTTGAAGCTGTCTTTTATTTCTACTATGAGTCTCAATAAAAGTCACAGAGGATTGTTTAGGGACCACAATGCGAGATTATTGGTGACTTAATTTACAGCTCAACCATTTCAGTTGGAACACTCATCTGCATGTCTTTGCATTGTATTCCTTGTTGTATTCAACACCATTCGCCTTTCGCTTTGTCGTACCCGGAGTACAGTGTCGCAGGATTTCCTGACAACCTTATCCGTGAATTATAACTCATACCTTGAACTTTGATCCACAAAATGGTAGAAAAACATGTTATGAGGGGTGTAGCAGCCAGGCCTTCAGAGGTTTACATTGGAAAGTACTGGGTATGAAACTCATGAAGAGATGTAGAATGGCAATCGAAAAGTAAAAAAAAGTGATATGTATTTATTGCATTTCGAAAGGCTTCGATGGGAATTTCTCAAGGTAAACATTTAATACTTGGATATCTATAATTTATTGCATGAAATTGCTCATAAGTCAATTGCTACAGCCTGGCAGGCTTTTTCTAGAAATAAAACACTTGCCTGGTATTCTTTTCAACTTGTCCCAGGCGTCTGGGTCTAATATTTGTCGCACCCTGTAATAGTTCGTCAAATGAATCCTAGCGTCCTGTTGGCCCTAGCTTATTCACCTGTGCAAACATGAGCTCACTAAATCATCGCAAGTGATGAGAACTCCAAGGCAATGCTGATTGTCCACTCTCATCAGAATTTTTACTCCCATGATGTACTCGTGGATAACACGATGTAGTCGTGCATATCGAGCATTTATCTGCATTGAAGGCCAGCTTCCAGGTATTACTCCTTTTCAACCAGGTTATCAATATCTCTTTGCAACGATGCACAGTCACAGGTGGATCTTATAGGTCTTGTTTTTTTTTTTTGGTCTTTGTTTTATTCTTTGTTCTCTTTTGTTTTGTTTGTTCTTGTTTTTTCTTCTCTTTGATTATGCATATCACAACCAAGATGAAGAATACTGATTTTCTTCTATTTACTCAGCTGTTTAGTTTTTAGTGCACAGTGCACTATTAGGATTGTTTAGGGGCCTGCTGTTCAGTAAGGCACTAACCCACCAAGGCGATAACACAATAAGGTGTAAACTTTAATGTTTGTTTAATTAATTAATTTCAATTAATCAATTAGCTTTGTGGGAAGGGGCCTGGGTGGGGTAACTATAGGTACCCGTGCGCATTTTGCAAAACGCATCTTGCTTACGTTGCTGTTTTTGATAACTTGACAAAAATATATATATGGTTTTGCAAATCTAATGCGATCGTTGTGGTGCTATTCTCTTAAGACCAAAAAAAATTTGCTCCAAACGCATGCGTAGATTAGTTAGTGTCAAAGTCGATTATATCTTAGCATTCTCGTCCCCAGAGGCCATGCTCCTTTTAGTCAGCTCCAAGAATCGCAACCTCTGGGAAGGTCCAATTTTTTGAGCATGCACAGAGTAATCGTTTTGTTTTCTCAGCCAATCAGATTTGTCAGTCTTGACTCTGAGCATGTCCAAGGACAAATATCTGAGCATATTTTTGCCCCAAATGGAGGCTATTGTGTTTCTGATCCTTCACATATTTTTCACAACATGCACGGTCATAAAAATTGGGGAATATCACTCAAATATTTCCCAGTTGTAGCTGGGGAATATTCTGTCACGTGACGTGTTTAGACCAATTGCACTTGAGCAAAAATGTTTGATGGATTATTAACACTCGTATTTTTGGACCTCTCTCTTAAACAACACCCGATTAAACTCTACTGTTTTGGCAGCCATGTGGGATGTGAGACCGTGTTGGGTTCTGGATAATATTGATGAACCGTGGGACAGTTTGGGTCACTTCGATCATCTCCTGGTGAGAAGGTAGTTTTCATAAAATCGTTCATAATTGCCCCCGTCTGCGACCAATCGCCCGGATAGAACACAGATGTATGGAAGCAATCGCAATCGTCCCAATTGCTACCAGCTTTGATGATCATCTTTGCAATGTTCTCATGTAATCACCCAATCGTAATATCACTTTCTGAAGTGACAGCGGTGACTGAAATGATCAGGGCAATTATATGAGAACCAGTCTTAAGTATTATGCCTCCACAGCAGTTGGCCATTTACTACACTTCAAGCACCCACTGTCTAAGCATGTCTGGAAGGTGTTTCAAACAATTTTAACATGTTCCAAATGCATTTCAAACAAAGATGCCCTTGAAATAATAATAACATAAGCCTTCTCTATATAGAGAGAGTCACATGAAATACTGACTGAATTCTTTGAGAAGAGCTGATCAGTTCCTGGACCATTGATTGTCTCCTATCACAATCAGTCATCAACTTGTCCAATGTGTTCTGCAAATTCTTGGAGGTGAACTCCTCTAGCACAACAGCTCCTTTTAAAAGGAGAAGAAAATATTAAAAAATAATTACAAAATAAGTCTCTGTTTGCTGGGAAACAAATCTGGACATTGTTACTGTGTGAACCACTGAGCCCTGCATTTGTCATTTTAAAACATGCAAGTACAATGTTCCATAAATTAAACCTAAACTTCTAACTTGGTTGGCACCATTTTTTAAAGTGCTCAAAAATAGCTGAATTTTGGCATGTGGGCTTTGTTCCACCTGAGAAACATTACTCTGAAGTTTTTTTCGCTGGGTTGCTCTTCATTCTCGAGAAATAACGTATGCAAAAAAGGCACACAAGTTGGAAAAACCGAGTTGTTTACTGCATACACAATATCTCGAAAACGAAGCGAACTTTAGCGCGAAAACTACGGGACACTGCTTAACATACCTGAACAAAACTGCATGTGAAATTTGGAGCGTTTTCAACAAAGTTCACTTTTGATTAAAATACCTAATGCCCTTTTCCCGCCGAGTCCTTCAAATAAACGAAGCCGGGCCTTTGATATGATAAACCGAGCCGATCCTTTGTTATAATAGCCAAGTCAAGCCTTTGTTATGAGTCGAAGTCTCTCCTCGGTTTATTATAACAAAGGATCGGCCCACCGTGACCGCCAGGACTTGGATTTCACTTAGGAACCAGCAAAATGTCAATTTCACGCAACATACATAAGCTCAATTTTATTGATTTCAGGTCAAAAGTGGTTAAAATACTGACTCATGTTAACGGGTGACAGCAAGGATGTTGATTTCTCTTAAAAAGCAGCAAAATTTCAATTTCACGCAACGTATAAGCTCAAAATTGTTGATTTTACGTCTAGGTAAAGTCTGCATGCGAGCCAAGTGGCCCATCAGGCCGGAGCTTATCCCGGATTCTGTAGCATGAAGCGACTAGGAGTATTTCTACTCCCCCCTGGATGGGATGCTAGTCCATCGCAGGGTTACCCCCAGCATTNCTGATGACTTACGGGTTTGCTGCCTGGCTCAATCTGACTTCGAAGACCAATAACATGATTACGGTATATCAGCTGCCTTCGAAGTTTCAGAACACATTTTGATTCTTTAAAACGTGCTGATGACTTACGCGTTTATCAAAGCCTTATGATGCCTCTCAACCACCAGGCAGGCATACAAGGTACTTTAAAATTCACCATCTTTATTAACTTATCAATGCTTAAGATATTAGTTGACAGAGCTCTAATGTGGCACATCTCTTTTTTGTTCGATGGAATTTCGTTTGACGCTCAATCGATTCACGTGTTGTGTTCACATCACAATAACCGACGTAAACAATCTGTTCCCAGATTTCCGCTCTATATACTATTTTCCTTTGACTTTGACTAAGATTCTGTGGAATACACTATAAACAGTCTGCCTGTTTGCTGTTCAACAAAATACTAAGAAGGTTTCTTTTATTTTTCATTCAACAAAAGATCTCCAAAAGAGGCCACTTGGAAAACTGAGTTTTTTTGCATACGAAATGTTTCTGAGGTGAAACGAAGCCCACATGCCAAAATTCAGCTATTTTTGAGCACTTTCAAAAATGGGCGAAAAATCCAGGGGACGTTCTTGCCCGTGGCCTTTCAATTATGCTGATGAAATATATACGGTATTACAGTAGTTTCCTTCATTTGATGCCAAAACCACTTCAAATCAATATTGATTTTAAAAGCCCTATACACAAGCAGACATTACTGAAGGTAAACAGAGTTACAGTGGAACTCTGCCTTAGGACCAGCCAGTTAACACGGCCACCTTGTTATTATGACCACTTTATTCTGGCCCAAACAAAAGCTCACTCAGTCATGTTCTTATTTAAAGAACCCCTTTAATATGACCACCCCGTTAATACGGCCAGATATTTGTGGCTTGTTGGTGACCAGATTAACAGGGTTTCACTGTACTTGATTTGAGACTTACAATGTACATGTAAAACAACTGGACACCTGAAAGACTGATTAAATCAATTTCAGTTTTCGTTAGGCAAAACAGAGTCCAAAAAAATGTTTATTTAGTTCCTTGGGAAGTTCCCTTGTCACATAGCCATCCCTGGCGCCAAAGGTCAGTTTAAGTAAAAGGTTTGTCACTATAATTATGAGATGTAACTTTACCTTTTTTTACCGTGCAAAGAACCTGTGCTTCTTTTCACCAAATTCATACTAGAAATTGATGGGAATTTATGCTTAGCTAGATATTTCTTGTTGATCTTGAGTTAGGTTAAGACAGAAAAACAGCTTTTGTGTTTTTGTGGATGTTCATGAAATAGCCATAACTCATAAAGTCCTATGTAAATAGTTTGCCGGCGCAGAAAAAATATTGAAGTCCCCAAACATTTTATGGCTTTTTTGAGAACTACCGGTATAGTGATTGCTCTCACTATCTATGCTACAATAAAGTGTATTTGCTGTTGTTCATTGCAGATATTTGCCATCAATTAAAAGCTCTTCATAACACTACGAAATATGCCCCTTACTTAAGGACGTTCGTGCGAAAATTTTCCAATCGATAGAATTTGTTTTAAATTTTGACTGTAGTCATATAATGAGTAACTTGTGTCAGAAATGCAAAACATTGGGTGTCACTGACTTCGTTTCACAGATAAAGCATGTGGAAAACTACCCTGATTTTGAAAACTTGGTGCACGTCATTCAGCATGGTCTACAGGGGTTTATAGTTAAAAATACTGAAGGTGAGTCAATGGAGGCAAATGATCTTAGTCATATTTTGTAGAAGTGGGTCTGTTGCAAAAATAATTCCAAATGTTACCAACATTTTCACAAAACTTAACCCTTCAAGCGGCATTTGAAACTGTCACACAGATAAACAGAGCTAAAAAGAATGGAATTTGATGGTGCATTTTGCAAAAAATTCAAACTTCTAATCAATAGATTCTCTTCATTCTTTTGTTAAATGTAGAAAATCGGTAGAGAAAATGATCCATCCAAAGAAAAATAGGGGTCACTGAACATTCAAGATCATTAAATCCAGGTAAAGCTATAGTAATGGCCACCTGCCCTACCATTGTTCATTTCATTACTTAGCACGCTCTCTCATGCATGCATAGTAAGGATGTGCTGAAACAATTAGCACGAATGTCCTCAAGGTGATTCCCTAGAAATAACACTTGACATTAGATTTTTTTCAAATTTTTGTGGTTGTTCCTAATAATGCAGGTATTCGAAATGTGCGATTAAAAACATATAAGAGTCATAACTCATCAAAGGTGCGTCAAAAATCTGTGTAATGGTACTCATTACATGAGTTTTTCCTTTTCTGAATGCCGCTACGTTTTGGGGTATTAGTGGCCAAACACATGGAGTTAATATTAAAAAGTCTCAATAGATACATTGCATCGTCTTAAAGGAACAATTTGGTATGTGTTTCTTAGCAAAAATGTACATCTTGGATCAGAGTTGACAGAAAGTATTTCTAGTGTGTGTCTTCTAGGGGTGGTAAGGTTCAGGTCACAAGTGAAACGGTAAGTAACCATTTTTGGCAGTTACCTGACGTTAACATTTTTTCTTACTCATTCAGTGGAAAGACAATGAATTAAAGACTAATTTAACACAATAAAAAAGGTACCTTACGGTGCTTGTTTAAGAGAAACGTGAGGTAAAGTCTGCATACGAGCCAAGTAGCCCATTAGGCCAGAGCTTATCCCGGCTTCTGTAGCATGAAGCAACTAGGAGTATTTCTACTCCCCTCTGGATGGGACGCTAGTCCATTGCAGGGTTACCCCCCTGCATTAAGTTCGCTGGTACCCATTTATACACCTGGGTAGAGGGGGGCACTGCGAGAGTTAAGTGTCTTGCCCAAGTACACAACACAATGTCCCTGGCCAGGGCTCAAACCCAGACTGCTTGATCCAGAGACAAGCACACTACCATGAGGCCACTGCACCTCCAGTTAAGAGAAAACAAGCATTTATTTCGCTGTCGAGCATAGCTTGATGGAAATTTCTGACGTTGTGTGTTGCACACGCTCATGTGCGGCACGCTTCCGACGCAAAAATCATGCGCAGTAGGGATGCACAATGCAATACTTAGGAATCACCTTAAGATGTAGTCATGCAGAGGAATCAAATTGCCTAGTTCATATGAATATCTGTGCTTTGAGACTGATACATTATTGTAGAACATGATCCAGTGGATTTCATTTTCACATGGCCTTTCTTGTTGTAGAAATACTAAACCAAAGACAGCTGATAAAAAATGCAGAACTCGGTGTCAAATCATTATTTTTACAGGAGTTCCCCTTAGCTTGAAGGGAATAAAATATTTTTATCTACTTTTTTTGTCATAATCATTCACTCACCCAACCCAACATTTGATCCAAGTTTGAGTGAAATTGATGATTTGAGCTGTATCACCTCCTGCATGGTTTTGTCATGGACACACTCTTAATTACATATGTTTTGCAAAGGGAACAGCAGAAACAATGATGAAATAAAAACAAACCACAAAAAACTAACACTGAAATCAGAAAATCACAGTTTCTTATTTTCATCTGCAGACTAACCTACAGGAATCTGTTGAAGTCGGCTGGAAGGTAACACCATGACAGGTTGATAGCCATGATGTCTCAGTTTGCAGTTGACCTCTTCCCATTCTGCCATCACTCCTGCCTACAAAAGGATATTTTATGTAGTCATTTATTTGCTTCATCATAAATATCTACTCTAGCTTCTTCTATGAACTCTGTCTATGTTCCATGTGCAAAAACAGAGTCCTAATTGATTATTCCTGGGGATGGGTTTCATGTGTTCATGTGTTTCGTAGTTATAAAATTATTGTTGACTTGGTCAGATGGCTGGATCTCATCAGCATTTGTTGTTATCCTCTGTACCAAACTGAACTTACAAGCTAAGAATGCAGGGGTAAAATATCTTGCAATTGGCTTTAGCTGAGTATTTATCACCATTGGGTTGAGTTAGAACAAAGGTGTGACCTTTGCTGAGTAGTGATTTTTCACTCTCAGTAAGATTGAAGTGCTCTGAAATTCACAGTTACAGCAAGTTTGTCACAAGGGGGATCAGAGGTGTTATGGACAAGCATTGTTGAGTTTTCAGTTATTTCCAATCACTTAGTTATTTTTGGACTGAAACCCATTTCCTCTGGATTTGGCCTTTTTTTTTTTTCAGTCATTTACTAAGGGCTATTCCAGACTCGGTTATTTCAAACTCCCCCATTATTTCAAATTGATTTCTGTTCCCCTTGGCTTAAAAATTATCGCCCCCATTTATTTCGAACTCTACTGGTAGAGTTACAAAATAAACATCATCATAAAACAGGCTGCAAAGAAAACCCATTTTGGGGTTGCCCTTTGTGCAAGCTGTACCTATCATGTATTAGCCCAAACGTCACTCTCACTAGTCCCAAAGAATTTTATCTTATACAGTACTTCTGTAATTTGAATTCCCTCAAAATTTTGCCAGGAAACTTCACTTGCTCAAAAAGGACAGAATCTACTACTCTGACTGCAAAATCCACTAGCCCCCGGCTATTGACAGAGATCTTGAAAACGATGACCCCCCCTCGAAATTCTATCAGTGAGATGAAAGGTCAATAGCACAACACTCAATGTAAGCCATTGTTTTGTCACGCCACCATTGCATCTTGGTTTTGCAATGAGCTTCAAAAACACAAAACTGTTTAATGCAAATTTCTGAGCTAAAATCCCTTACCAGATGTTTGAATCTTTGCAGCTTTACGCAAGACATGCAAAACAAGGTAAAAAATGTATTTGAAGAACATATTCTTGCATTGTACACTTCCGTCACGCAATATTAGGTCAACAAAGACAGCACCCTGCTGAACTTTATTTGGGCCCCCAAAATATCCCAATTGCTTTATCTATGGGTATATCCACTCCAAACTCGCACTCAGACATACATTAATGTAAGAAATCATGATATTCACCGTTATAAAACTAGGAATAGTAACGACCTTATTTTAGACAAAGTTAACTTACAATACACCAAGCATGCCTTTTTCTACAAAGGTGCAACTATTTTTAATAATCCCTTTTAATGTGACTTAATTTTATTGTAAGTTTCTTCTAGTTTTACTGATTTTATTTTATTTATTTATTTATTTATTTATCTATTTATTTTTACACAGGACCTGCACTGATAGCAGTTTTTTCCCTAAAGCTGATGCAACCATCCAGTATAAGTATGTTTTAATTATTATCATTATCATTATCATTATCATTATCGTTATCATTATGATTATCATTATTATTATTCATGATATTTTTATTTTCATAAAAATTTTAGTCTATGATACTGGAATGTGTGATTTGTAAATAGGTTTTCTGAGGAGATTTTAATAAAGTTCTTGTTGTAAAAATTATTATTATTATCATTATTATTATTATTATTATTATTATTATTAATCACTGTGTAGTACTACTAAATTTAATTCCCATGTAATCAATTTGAAACAATCGGTACATGACCAAACTAAGACTATTGTTGTGCCATCAATCTTTTGTCTCACGGATAGAATACCAAGGAGGTTTTTGTTTTCCACGTCTCCATTTTCTAGGGGGTCTTCGTTTTGGAGGTCTTCATTTTTGAGGGGTCTTTGGTCTTCACTTTCTAGACACCTATATTAATTGTTATTTTCATAGTTAATGCTGACCAGGTTATTTTGATCCCCTGCTATTCCAAACTATTTTTCATTTCCCCTGGCGGGGAATGGCAGGGTTGAACTGTACTTATCTGTTTGTAAAGCGTGGTTCACAATTGCAACATAGCAACATAACAACACAGATAATTTTTTCCTTTTGTCATTATGGTTACGTCATTAAGTTCCTTTTATGTTGTTATTTTGTGTTGTTCGCCTTGGTGACAGAAAACATCAACATAGGGGTCTTCTTGTAATTGCATGACCTTGCTATTGTGTCAGCAAGGGTCTGACCCTGCTGTTGCATGGTAAACATGGTTGTCATCACGAGTCTACAAGAAGCCAGATTAAGCATATTTTGCAAGAAGTGGACTCATTCTGATGGAAGTCTGATATATGGAACTTCAAAAGAAACCTATTGGGGTCAATCCTTGTCAGAGGCACTTTTTGAGAAATACCACATACAGTGAAAAATACTTTTTTGATTACATTTTGCTGCTAGCTATAAACACTGTTTCCATACGCTACTTTCAAGGGGGGGAGGCGCTACTTTCACTGTGTTGTTACTTTCGGAACTTCACAGTTGTATTATTTTCCAGGGAGAAAAATTTACGCTCCAGTGTTAACTGTCTTAAATAATTAAATAGACCATACATACAGCGAAAAACTTCTTTGATAACATTTTACTGCTAACTGTACATACTGTTCTACATGCTACTTTCAGGGGGGGTCACCACTTTCACTGTGTTGTTACTTTTGGAACTTTACAGTAGTATTAATTTCCAGTGAGAAAAATCTACTCTCCAGAGTTAAATAGACCTGGCACTGATAAGCTACATCATTGGAACTGGTGAGACAATCTCAGATAGTGCAGAGTGCAATTGATAGCTCTCACCAGGCTTTTAGCCATCCTGGGGACAGCAACTTTTCAGGGGAAAATAAATAAATAAAACTGAGATCTTGTTGATTTGCAGTCAGTACTTTTATAATAGTTTCAACAAAATGACTTGATTTCTACAGTGATTCTGGAAATGCTTTTGAACACCATTTCACCATCACTTTATTCAACTTAAGTTTTCTTTGGTTACTTCATAGGTGAATACCAGGCACTCTTTTCCCGTTATCATCCGTGTAGAGCAAGACGTGGGTTTCCGAACCGATGTCACCAAAAGGAACTTCATGAAACCGGCAAGAAGCATTCCTTCTGAGGAACGCTTACATGAAGTACTAACTTGTGAACCCGCACTTGTCGTTTCACAATCATCTTTACTGTGACAAATATCAGACAAATGTTAACTGATGTGTTTAGTATGGGCAGAGGCAACTTCAGTTTAAATCTATTTTAGGTTTTTGGTGATGAAAATGAATTACGGTCGTTTTGCCCCAGGTCTGTTTCACCCCAATTCAAAGTTGTTTGGCCCCAACTAAAAGTTGATTCGCCCTGACCAAAAGTTAGTTCACCTGAAGTTTTTTCACGATTCAGAAAGCAATGGTTAACTTGAACAAAAGAAACACTGTTGAGACCCTTTTTAGTCGTGGATACGCGAAGTTGAGAGCGGCCATTTTAGTTCATGCACAGGAAGACCACTCTATGTGTTGGTGGTTAATAATTGTTTATATGAAATGAAGAGAATCTATGAGGATTATGAATAAAGCTCCGAAAATTGCATATCTAAATTACATATTGGTCTGAATATCCCAATGAAGTTAAATGAAACGTTAATCACCTCATTTGTGGTGTTTTTCCATCTTCCTGGGCCGTTTGAACGGTCTTTTTACGAAATTACTTTAGGCCGGAGACCCATAAGACAAGTGGGGAGACAAGGCTAGCAACTTGGCAGCCACTAGCTGCGACCTCTTCCACTTCAAACTGGAATTAATCCCAAAATACTGAAAACCTCACCTGAATGGTGACGGTTGTTGATCAATGAGATTTTTCTCTATCTCTTCACTGAATTTGAGCTCCATCCCTTCAACATTTTCTGAGAAAATCAATGCTGAAATCACAAATACAGCTTTCTCAATAGGATCGATGCCAAACTCAGGGACCAACGGAATTCAAGGTATGCAGGCCATTTCAAATCTACCAATCAGCGCTGATTGGTAGATTTGAAACGCTTTAGCCGGCCCAGCAAGACGAAAAAAGACAACACGAGTCAATTAACATGTCATTTAACTTCATTGGGATATTCAGACCAATATGTAATTTAGATATGCAATTTTCAGAGCTTTATTCATAACCCTCATAGATTCTCTTTGTTTCATGTAAACAATTATTAACTACAAACACATAGAGAGGTCTGCCTGTGGTTCATGTGTTTCACTTTTCAAATATTTAGTATTTTGCCTAGGGCTTTTGATCACTCGTAGATGAAAGCTGAGAGGTATTTATGACTGCGATCATGTATCGGTCAAAGAATTGTTAGTCAAAGCAAGGAAGTGAGATCTTGTTTACCAGACGTGGCTCATAGCTTTTTTCTTGGCTGGAGAATTTCACTCACTTTCTCTCCTTCTAGAGTCCAAGGTAAGCCTAAAGTAGCCTGTTTCTGTATTGTATCTTTTTTATGTACCGGTACACATTGAAATTCTGGCAGCACTTCTATCTTAAATTTGAAACCCATGATTTAGTTATTTTGTATTTTAGAATAAGCTCACTCCAAGCAAAAAATTAAAATTGCTTAATCTTTTAATTTCGTTGTTCTTCACACTACATTTCTTCTGTATTCTATGCAGTTCGACCAGAGTGAGAACTTCTTGAAGAATAGTATACAAGTCAGCATCCATGATTGAGTAAATATGCTCTAACATTTGAGTGATGGATAGACAAATTAGCATCCAAGAGACTGTGTAGATCTATTTTTTGCAAGAGATTTACTGTCCAATCATGTCAAACACAAGCCATGTCAAACAGGCATAGTGGCTGGTGATGTATGTATAATCTTATTTTTGTTCTCGAAATGAGATATGTAAACAACTGGAATCAAAACTTGAAATA